AGGGGAGAGATTAATTTTTCTGCAAATGAAACAAAAACATCAGGAGCCAAGACAAGGCATGGTGCGCTGAGGCATTTGCTTCACTGTGCTGAGTATTGACATGATGTTTGCAGCTTTGGGTAATTGGAGAGGCATTCATTACAAAGGTATTATTAAGGAAATGGCCCTTTTTTGTAAGAGAGGCGTATCCTGCCTAGTAACCCGTTTAACTCGTAAAATCATCTCCTAATGATGACAGGGCTGTTTAGCCCAACTGGGCAAAGCAAGTCAGAAGATCTTACGTCATGATGAAACAGAACTTCAGTTACGCCACAACCCTGTTGTTAAGGAGAGCCACCAAAATCTGGAGGCTAGCTATAATAATCTATCTTTCTATCTATACACATAATAAAAGTGAAAATATGTAGGTGTGTATGTAGCTGGGGTGTCCACTTATATAAACAAGTTCCTACCTCCACAAACAGCTATAGCTCCCACGACACAGGAGAAACCAAAAGCCCTCCCTCCAATGACATTGCAGGGTATAGTGAGTGCCATGAACATGTCCAAGAGCCCTGCCAATGTCCCCCACAAATGCCATACTGTCCACCACCCACGTGAAAGCTTTCATGCAGGGACATCCTAGATTTTGTGTGTTTCCTTCACCAAAGACATCCCAGTGTATCTGATTCTCTCCATTGGCGTGGAATTTGCATGAACCTGCCCACTGCTTCTCCCTTAACCCTTTCCTATTCTTTTCTATGGCACACAGCAAGCAGAGGAAATGATCAGCAACTGAACATATGAGAGAGGTTTGGGGGGAATTCACCATGATTTATAAGAGTTGTAGGTACTAGGATGTATAGTTCACCTGCAATCTAAGAGCACTCTGAACTTCACCATCAATGGAGCTGGAACTCACTTGGCACACAGAACCTTCATGACCAACAAAGAATACTGGAAGTCTTGGGAGGGATGTATAAGAGTTGTAGTTCACCTACATCCAAAGTGCAGTATGAACACAAACAATGATGGCTCTAAACCAAACTTGGCATGCATGCCCAATTCAAATTTGAATACTGATGGGTTTTGAGGAGAATTGTCATGGGCTTTTTAGAGTTATAAGTACTGGGATTTATAGTTCACCGATATGCCCGAATTTGGGTTTTGATTTAAATTGTGGAAGTCTGACTCCACTTTAATTATAATGGCAATTTTTGACAAAGAAGGCTAAAGATCTTGTTAAATTACAGCTCCCAGGATTCAAGAGGTAGCCGTTCAAGAGGTATCAAAATGGATTAATTCCACCCAGAATATTCCCAAACCTTAAAAAATTAATGATGAGGTTGATTTTTATCTTTGCCTGTATTATTATTATTATTATTATTATTATTATTATTATTATTATTAACTTTATTTATACCCCGCAAAATCTCCCAAAGGACTCAATGCGGCTTACAAAGGCCAAGGCCGCCGACAACAACAACATACACAATCAAACTCAAAAAATAAAATAAAACTCATAAGCAAATAATAAACTTCAAGCAAACAATAAAACAGTAAAACGATGACACTGTGACACAATTTAAAACCTAAAGGCAGGGCTGAATGTAATAAAATTTAAAAGTGCTGAACTTGACAGGTAATATGTAGAGGTATTTGGAGGTAGGTGCAATGTGCAGATAATCCTAAATCTCTAACAAAGTGCATTTGGGACTTTCCTATTCTGGAAAGGCACACTGGAACAGCCAGGTCTTCAGGCTCTTCCTGAAGACTGCCAATGTTGGGGCTTGTCTGATGTCCTTGGGGAGAGAGTTCCAGAGTCGGGGGGCCACCACATAGAAGGCCCTGTCCCTCGTCCCCACCAAGCACGCCTGCGACGCAGGTGGGATCGTGAGCAGGGCCTCTCCAGATGCTCGAAGGGAGCGTGTGGGTTCATAAACGATACACAAGCACACCGTATGGGCTAGTGTACTTGTGTATCGTGTGCTGCATCATTTTCCAACAATAAACCTTATGCTATAGCAAAATAATAATAAGAATAATAGACTGGGATCATCATAACCCAAAGAAATGGAAATTAAGAGTCCCTCTGAGCATGTACAAAGTGCAATGTAACCTCCATACTTCCAAACCATACGATTAAATAGAAGACCTTGAATTTGAGAATATACAGCATTTACTCAAATGCTGCAAAAGTGTTGATCAGGCATGGGCAAACTTGGACCCTCCAGGTGTTGTGGACTTCATCTCAGTTTTGACAAGCTGGAATGTGTCCAGAGGAGGATGACTCAAATGATCCAGGGTCTGGATCATTTGAGGAGCGGCTTAAAGAGCTGGGCATGTTTAGCCTGAAGAAGAGAAGGCTGAGAGGAGATATGATAGCCATGTATAAATATGTGAGAGGAAGCCACAGGGAGGAGGGAGCAAGCTTGTTTTCTGCTTCCCTGGAGACTAGGACGCGGAACAATGGCTTCAAACTACAAGAAAGGAGATTCCATCTGAACATGAGGAAGAACTTCCTGCCTGTGAGAGCCGTTCAGCAGTGGAACTCTCTGCCCCGGAGTGTGGTGGAGGCTCCTTCTTTGGAAGCTTTTAAACAGAGGCTGGATGGCCATCTGTCAGGGGTGATTTGAATGCAACATTCCTGCTGCTTGGCAGGGGGTTGGACTGGATGGCCCATGAGGTCACTTCCAACTCTTTGATTCTATGCCCACCATCGGCTCATTTCTTTCCCGCCTCAGCCGCTTAAGCTTCCTGTTGTCTCACCCCTGTTCTTAAAGAGGAGTTGTTTGTAAGCCAAATGTTTGTAACTCAGGGACTGCTTGTACCCCACATGAGGAAGAACTTCCTGACTGTGAGAGCCGTTCAGCAGTGGAACTCTCTGCCCTGGAGTGTGGTGGAGGCTGGATGGCCATCTGTCAGGGGTGATTTGAATGCAATATTCCTGCTTCCTGGCAGGGGGTTGGACTGGATGGCCCATGAGGTCTCTTCCAACTCTTTGATTCTATGATTCTACTGTGTTACATTGCACTTTGTACATGCTCAGAGGGACTTTCCATTACTTTGGGTTATGATGGTCCCATTCTTTCTTTGTTGTTGTTCATTCGTTCATTCAGTCGTCTCCGACTCTTCGTGACCTCATGGACCAGCCCACGCCAGAGCTCCCTGTCGGCCGTCACCACCCCCAGCTCCTTCAAGGTCAGTCCAGTCACTTCAAGGATGCCATCCATCCATCCATCTTGCCCTTGGTCGGCCCCTCTTCCTTTTGCCTTCCACTTTCCCCAGCATAATTGTCTTCTCTAGGCTTTGCTGTCTCCTCATGATGTGGCCAAAGGACTTCAACTTTGTCTCTAGTCTCCTTCCCTCTAGTGAGCAGTCGGGCTTTATTTCCTGGAGGATGGACTGGTTGGATCTTCTCGCAGTCCAAGGCACTCTCAGCACTTTCCTCCAGCACCACAGCTCAAAAGCATCGATCTTCCTTCGCTCAGCCTTCCCTAAGATCCAGCTCTCACATCATAGGTTACTACAGGGAATACCATGGCTTTGACTAGGCGGATCTTTGTTGCCAGTGTGATGTCTCTACTCTTTACTATTTTATCGAGACTGGACATTGCTCTCCTCCCAAGAAGTAAGCGTCTTCTGATTTCCTGGCCACAGTCTGCATCTGCAGTAATCTTTGCGTCTAGAAATACAAAGTCTGTCATGGCCTCCACGTTTTCTCCCTCTATTTTCCAGTTGTCAATCATTCTTGTTGCCATAATCTTGGTTTTTTTTATGTTTAGCTGCAACCCGGCTTTTGCGCTTTCTTCTTTCACCTTGATTAGAAGGCTCCTCAGCTCCTCCTCGCTTTCGGCCATCAGAGTGGTGTCATCTGCATATCTGAGGTTGTTAATGTTTCTTCCAGCAATTTTCACCCCAGCTTTGCATTCCTCAAGCCCCGCACATCCTCGCATGATGTGTTCTGCATACAAGTTAAAAAGGTTGGGTGAGAGGATGCAGCCTTGCCGTACGCCTTTCCCAATCTTGAACCAGTCTGTTGTTCCATGGTCAGTTCTACTGTTGCTACTTGGTCCTTTTACAGATTCCTCAGGAGAGAGACAAGGTGGCTTGGGATGCCCATCCCACCAAGAACTTGCCACAATTTATTATGATCCACACAGTCAAAGGCTTTAGAATAGTCAATGAAGCAGAAGTAGATGTTTTTCTGAAACTCCCTGCCTTTCTCCATTATCCAGCGGATGTTGGCAATCTGGTCTCTCGTTCCTCTGCCTTTTCTAAACCCAGCTTGAACATCTGGCAACTCTCGCTCCATGTATTGCTGGAGTCTTCCTTGCAGGATCTTGAGCATTACCTTACTGGCATGAGAAATAAGGGCCACTGTACGGAAGTTTGAGCAGTCTTTCACATTTCCCTTTTTTGGTATGGGGATATAAGTTGATTTTTTCCAGTCTGATGGCCATTCTTGTGTTTTCCATAATTGCTGGCAAATGGCATGCACCACCTTGACAGAATTTTAAGATTTTAAACAGTTCAGCTGGGTTATGATGGCCTCATTCTTTATTTATTTTATTTTATTTTTTATTTGCTATAGCACAAAAAGAGCCATTATTTTACTTACAGGGGGCTGGAATAAGGGGAATAGTCAAATGACAACTGGTGTTGACTCATTACAATTACTAATATTCAATGAGTCAACACCATTCCAGCCTCTGCTTCTCTATGGACACATCCCACAAGAACCACCTCTCTACGTCCCACCCTAGTCCTTTATCCTGCTCCCTGATTGGCGGTGCTGCCTGTCAATTACGGATTGTCGGGAGAACACCTTGCCTATGCTTGTATTTGGAGAAAAAAAAGTCAAGCGAAGGATTAAAATAAGAGAAGGGAGGGATTGGTAGCGTCGTTTGTCAATCTTAGAGAAATCCCCTGATTGGTTCAGATTCGGAGCCGGCGTGGTAGTCCCGCCTCCCGGACGGGAGCGGATGCTGCTCTGATTGGCCGCGAGGAGAGTCAGTCTCCGCCCTTCCAGGTAGCGTGGAAGATGGCGGCTGCGTGAGGGGAGCGGCGCTTCATTGCCTTCCGACCTCTTTTTCCGCCTCATTTCCCGGGCGGGGACCGATGAAGGCGGCGGCCGAGGCCTGAGGGGAGGCAGGAGCACCGCCGGAAGGGATGCGGAGGCGGCGGAGGCTCCGCGGGGACGGAGAGCGGCTGGGCCGCGCCCTGAGCCTCGGGGCGGCGCTCTGCCTCTGCCTGGCGATGCGGCCCGGAGGCGGCGAGGCGGCCCCGCTCCCGCCGGCAGGTGAGAAGCTTGGGGGCTGTCTGTACGGTCGAATTAACGCGGTTTGGTGCCGCTTCGGCGTCCTGTGGTGCCTCACCAAACTCCCAATCCCAGATTCCCTTGTGAAAGGCATCGAGGATGGATTATAATCAGAATAATAGGCCTCAAGGTGAACGTGAGCCATCAGGGTGATGCTGCAGCAAAGAAGGCCAAGGCCATTGTAGGCTGCATCAATAGGAATATGGATTCAAGGGGGTGGTTTTGACCTTTAAAGCCCTAAAGCAGGCATAGGCCAATTAGGGCTCTCCCTCCAGGTGTTTTGGACTCCAACTCCCACCATTCCTGACAGCCTCAGGCCCTTTCCTTTTCCCCCTCAGCCGCTTAAGCGGCTGAGGGGGAAAAGGAAGGGGCCTGAGGCTGTTAGGAATGGTGGGAGCTGGAGTCCAAAACACCTGGAGGGAAGGCCCTAATTGACCCATACCTGGGCTAAAGGTTTTCCAGGAAGGAAAGATTGGCCCACTCCTTTTCCCCCTCAGCCCCTTAAGCTTCCTGATGTCTCACCGCTGTTCTTAACTAGGAGTTGTTTGTAAGTCGAATGTTTGTAACTAAGGGACTGCTTGTACCCCACATGAGGAAGAACTTCCTGACTGTGAGAGCCGTTCAGCAGTGGAACTCTCTGCCCCGGAGTGTGGTGGAGGCTCCTTCTTTGGAAGCTTTTAAACAGAGGCTAGATGGCCATCTGTCAGGGGTGTGAATGTGTCCAAAGGAGAGCGACTAAAATGATCAAGGGTCTGGAGAACAAGCCCTATGAGGAGCGGCTTAAGGAGCTGGGCATGTTTAGCCTGAAAAAGAGAATGCTGAGAGGAGATATGATAGCCATGTATAAATATGTGAGAGGAAGCCACAGGGAGGAGGGAGCAAGCTTGTTTTCTGCTTCCCTGGAGACTAGGATGCAATTGAACAATGGCTTCAAACTACAAGAGAGGAGATTCCATCTGAACATGAGGAAGAACTTCCTGACTGTGAGAGCTGTTCAGCAGTGGAACTCTCTGCCCCGGAGTGTGGTGGAGGCTCCTTCTTTGGAAGCTTTTAAACAGGGGCTGGATGGCCATCTGTCAGGGGTGATTTGAATGCAATATTCCTGCTTCTTGGCAGGGGGTTGGACTGGATGGCCCATGAGGTCTCTTCCAATTCTTTCATTCTATGATTCTATGAAAAAGGAACATCAGCCTGTTTAGCAAGCCTTCCATTGCTGATTTGCCAATAGTAGATGTTTTAATATTTTATGTATTTATATACCTGGGGTCAAATAAATATTTCTTGGGTGGAAAACACAAACACAAAACATTGGATTGTTGTAAACAAATATTCTCAAAGCATGGAGGGCTGGTTGTAGAACAGGCATGGGCCAATTTGGGCTCTCCCTCCAGGTGTTTTGGACTTCAACTCCCACCATTCCTGACAACCTCAGGCCCTTTCCTTTTCCCACTAAACCACTGAAGCTTCCTCTCCCCCGTTCTTAAATAGGAGTTGTTTGTAACTCGGGGACTGCCTGTACCCCACAAAAAGGAACATCAGCCTGTTTAGCAAGCCTTCCATTGCTGATTTGCCAACAGTAAATGTTTAATATTTTATGTACTTATATACCTGGGGGTCAAATAAATATTTCTTGGGTAGAAAACACAAACACATAACATTGGATTGTTGTAAACAAATATTCTCAAACATGGAGCACTGGTTGTATAACAGGCATGGGCCAATTTGGGCCCTCCCTCCAGGTGTTTTGGACTTCAACTCCCACCATTCCTGACAGCCTCAGGCCCTTTCCTTTACCCCCTCAGCCACTTAAGCTTCTTGTTGTCTCACCCCTGTTCTTAACTAGGAGTTGTTTGTACGTCGAATGTTTGTAGCTCAGGGACTGCTTGTACCCCACAAAAAGGAACATCAGCTTGTTTAGCAAGCCTTCCTATGCTGATTTGCCAACAGTAAATGTTTTAATATTTTATGTACTTATATACCTAGGGGTTAAATAAATATTTTTTGGGTGGAAAACACAAACACAAAACATTGGATTTTGTCGAAGGCTTTCATGGCCAGAATCACTAGGTTGTTGTAGGTTTTTTCGGGCTATATGGCTATGTTCTACCTCTGAGGATGCTTGCCATAGATGCAGGCAAAACGTCATGCCTCTAGAACATGGCCATATAGCCCGAAAAAACCTACAACAACCCAAAACATTGGATTGTTGTAAACAAATATTCTCAAAGCATGGAGGGCTGGTTGTAGAACAGGCATGGGCCAACTTGGGCCCTCCCTCCAGGTGTTTTGGACTTCAACTCCCAGCCTCAGGCCCTTTCCTTTTCCCACTCAGCCACTGAAGCTTCCTGTTGTCTCACCCCCATTCTTAACTAGGAGTTGTTTGTAAGTCGAATGTCTGTAACTTGGGGACTGCCTGTACCCCACAAAAAGGAACATCAGCTTGTTTAGCAAGCCTTCCTATGCTGATTTTATGTACTTATATACCTGGGGGTTAAATAAATATTTCTTGGGTGGAAAACACAAACACATTAGATTGTTGTAAACAAATATTCTCAAACATGGAGGTGGTTGTAGAACAGGCATGGGCCAACTTGGGCCCTCCCTCCAGGTGTTTTGGACTTCAACTCCCACCATTATCCTGTCCTGGAATCATATTAAACTCACCTATCTCAAGCATTTGTAAATATCAGTATCAATCCTCTACACCAGGCCTGGGCAAACTTGCAGCATCTCTCCAGGTGTTTTGGATTCCAACTCTCACAATTCCTAACAGCCTCAGACCCTTTCCTTTCCCCCCTCAGCTAATTTGGTGAAATTCTCACTATAGATCAAGTATAGGCCAACTTGGGCCTCCAGGTATTTTGGACTCCCAACTCACATCATTCCTAACAGCCTCAGGCTCCTTCCTTTTCCCCCTTAAGCGGCTGAGGGAGAAAAAGAAAGGGCCGGAGGCTGTTATGAATGGTGGGAGTTGGAGTCCAAAACACCTGGAGGGAGGGCCCAAGATGGCCCATGCCTGCTCCCTCCCCATTGAGATTAAAACTGCCCCTTCCTTCCCTGTTATCTTTCAAGAACCAGTTGGAAGGTCTACCTGTTCAAGGAAGCTTTTGATGAACGAATTCAATTACTAATGACTGCAAGATTGATTTGCAGTGAGCTAAGCAAGATATACGATTGGATGGATGTGTCTCCACAAAAGTTGTAATTGGTTTTAAATGTTTTTAATGCTTAATATTTATTTATATCTTATTTCTGGACGTTATCATGCTTTGTGTGATTTCTGTCTTGTCAGAGTCGGACACGACTAGACTTAATACCAGGGGAAACCTTTACCTTTACTTTAGACCCCATCTTTCTCTACCCTGAAGGGGACTCAAGGTGGCTTACATAGAGGCAATTATCCAATGCCTTAAAACACAGACAATTTCTGGGCGTTATTATTCTTTGTGTGATTTCTGTCTTGTATTTTATGTTACCCCCTGATGGTGGTGCAGCGGGTTAAACCTGCTGAGCTGCTGAAATTGCGGACCAAAAGGTTGGCAGTTAGAGCTCCTGCTGTTAGTTCCAGCTTCTGTCAACCTAGCAGTTCAAAAACATGCAAATGTGAGTAGATCAATAGGTACCGCTTCTGTGGGAGGATACCGGCACTCCATACAGTCATGCTGTCCACATGACCTTGGAGGTGTCTACAGACAACGCTGGCTCTTCAGCTTAGAAATCGAAATTAGCACCACCCCCCCAGAGTCGGACATGACTAGACTTATTGTCAGGGGAAACATTTACCTATTTTATGTTAGATGTGGTTTGATTTGTATTGTATTATGTTGTGAGCCAATTTGGGTTCCATTAGGGAGAAAAGTGGGATATAAACAAAGAGTTGTTGTTATTATTATTATTATTATTAGTAGTAGTAGTAGTACTAGTAGTAGGCCAAAAGCTGAACATGAGCTAACAGTGTGATGTGGCAGCTCCCAAATCCAATGGCACTCTAGGCTGCATCAATAGAAATATAGTGTCCAGATTGAGAGAAGTCATAATTCCACTCTATTCTGCTTTGGTCAGGCCTCACCTGGAACAATGAAGCTGCGGGAAGAAGAAAAAACAGTTTAAGAAGGATATGGACAAGCTAGAATAGGCATGGGCAAACTTTAGCTCTCTGAGTGTTTTGAACTTCAACTCCCACAATTCCTAACAGCTGGTAGGCTGTTAAGAATTGTGGGTGTTAAAGTTAAAAAAAACCCAGAGGGTCGAAGTTTGCCCATGCCAGAGTTAGAAGGTGTCCAGATAAGGGGCACCAAAATGATCAGTCGCCCTGAGAGGAAGGGCAGATGGAGCATAGAATGTTTTGCTTGGAGTAAGGGCCCTTCCACAGTGCCCCTATATCCCAGGATCCGATCCCAGATTATCTTTTTATCCCAGGTTAGCTTGCAGTGGGGACTCATGTATTCCAGTTTAAAGCAGCTAATCTGGGATCAGATCCTGGGATAAAGGGCAGTGTGGAAGGGCCCTGAGAGAAAGGGGACGTGAGAGCTGCATTTAATATTTGAAAGGATGTTCCATTGAGGAGAAGGCAAGCTTGTTTTCTGCTTCTTTGGAGACCAGGACACAATGGAGCCATAGCTTCAAATGGCAAGAAAGGAGATTCCACCTAAATATTATGAAGTACTTCCTGAGGGTAAGAGCTGTTCAACAGGGGAATATGCTTTTACGGTGTATAATGGATTCTCCTTTTTTCTCTGGAGGTTTTTAAGCAGAGGCTGTTTTTCTGCCTGGCAGAAGTGAATTGGGCTGGATGGTTTGTGTTTTCCAGCTGTGTGATTCTATGAGCTATGGCTCATACGGTGGTGTCAAACTGCATTAATCCTGCAGTAGATGCATTCAGGAAGGGGGAAGGAGAAGGGCTGTGGGAGGGGGGGGGGGGGGGGGGGGGGTCCAGTCTGGTCTCCCTTACTATGGGGACCCTAGGGAAATTGGAGCCCTTT